GGTGCTTCCTGTAGCTCTTGCTTAGCAGGTCACCTTTCTCCCCTCAGGGCGGCTCCCTCCTCCTGCTCCGTGCATTGCACCTCCACAGGGACCACCCATTTCCTCCTGCTATGCATCCCCTCTGGCTGCCCCGGCACCCACCCAGGACCTCCATGGGGACCCCTCCATTCCTTTCCGCTGTGCACCCCTCACCCCTGCACCCCACCCAGGACTTCCACAGGGACCCCCAACCTCCTCCAGTTGTGCACCCCCCCACTCCTGCACCCCACCCAGGACCTCCAAGGGGACCCTCACCTCCTCCAGCTGGGCATCCCCCCTGCCCCTGCACCCCACCCAGGACCTCCATGGGGACTCCCCACCCCATCCAGCTGTGCACACTCCACCCTTACACCCCACCCAGAACTTCCATGGGGACCCCCTCATCCCCTCCCGCTGTGCATCCCCCCTGCCCCTGCACCCCACCCTGGCAATGGCAAGTGATTCTACGTCAACTCTGCTGCTCTAAGATGTTTATTTTCCCACTGACCTTTAAGTGAATTTTGTGGGTTTTCACTCTTTCCCAAACACAGTGTAGGTCTGACAGCTATAGGTGATTCTGTTTCTTTGTTTTGGAGACATGGTCTTGCTCTGTGGCCCAGGCTGGAGAGCAGTGGGGTCATCATGGCTCACGTAGCCTTGGCCTCACCAGCTAAAGCAGTGCTCCTACCTCAGCCTCCAGGGTAGCTGGGAACACAGGCAGGCACCACCATGCCCGGTTCATGTTTTGATGTTGTAGAGATGGGGGTCTCACTATGTTGCCCAGGCTGGGATTACAGGGGTGAGTTACAGCATCTGGCCCCTCCTTGTTCTTCTTTGAAAAGTTCTCAGAAGATGTGAGAAGAGGTTCCAATTCAGGTACTGTCCTCTGGTATTTTTATTTTAGAATGTGTTCTTCCCTATTAACTACATGGAAAATGACAAAGTGCTTCAGGTCCTATCTTTCAGATTTAACTGGAACACTTTAACATGGAGGTGGGCATGGGGTGTGGTTAGGAACAATAGGAAGAAAAGCTTTCCCTGAGGGCCTTGAAAGTCCTGAAGCTCCACGTTAGAAATGAGGGTGGGCGACCTTCACCCCATGGCTGCAAGCAGCAGCCCCCAGGTCTTTGTCACAGGCCTGCTCTGGGTTGAGCGGTGAGATGGGGTCTCTTGAAAAGTGGGCACTGAACTGAATGCACTGAGCTAAGAGGCATCTCAGGGGACACCTGGCCTCCAGCAGCACCAAAACGGGGTCCATGGTCATCCCAGGAACTCAGCACTGTGGTCGAACCATGGTGTTCCCCTCTCTGGGCTCCAGTCCTCACCAGAATCACCAACTCTATCAGAAACTCGATTATTTCTTTCCGTTTGTTCCTTGTTCACCAACACAACACTATCTGCATGGCAACATGTTATGGGACATCCGTAAGGTGGAATGTTATGCAGATACTATAAATGGTTGAGTCTTCCACTGCCTCATCACAATAGATTAAGGGGGAAAAAATAGCATTTACACACACACACAGTGTCAGTGAACGGTATTCTGTAGAACGCACAGGCTATCGTTCAGAGATTGATTCATATATGCACACCATCTTTTCCAAAGGCTCTAAAAGGTCCAGCAGAAAGAAACGCGTTGAACTGCGTGTAATGCATCGTTCCCTAGAGGTGTGTGACGGATGACACTTTCCACATGGGGCACCAAGCAACACTGACAGTACTGTTTGGGAAGCACTTCAGAGATGTGAACGAGGTGACTGAGAAATATGCATGGAGGGACGATGGAAGAACAGTTGGTCACATACTCAATTATACGTGATTTGAGATAGTGAGACTGTGGGGACATTTTTTTTCTGTTTTTCATCAATCTATTCTCACTAGATTAAATACATGTCAAAAGACACTTGATATAAGTTAAAACACCATGTCTAAAAGCCTCCAACCACTGCCCCAATTTTTACTTATTTAACAAGGCATGCCAGCGGGCCCCAGGGCCTTGCCAGCATGGTCCCCACCCATGTTCCTGGGCCCTCATCTCATGTTGCTGCCACATGGCGTCGTGCATTGTAGCACATTTCCTGCTGTGCTCCCAAGGCATTCACTTAGGAAATCTACTTTGTGCTCCATGTTGAGATTACAGCGTGTACAAAGACAGACACTATCTTGACTTTTTGACCTTTACTGTCAAAGGACATGCATGAACAGTCACAAAACAATCAAGGCTGGTATGGCTGGAATGTGAGGGGAATGTGACTGTTGAGGGGCAGGCAGGGGCCATGTGAAGGATGGGATTTCTTTCCTCCTAAGGGCAACAGCCATTAAAAAAAATGACTCCATGGCTAGGCAGCTGGGTGTAGTGGCTCACAGCTGTAATCTCAGCACTTTGGGAGGCCAAGACGGGAGGACCGCTTGAGTCCAGGATTTCGAGATCAGCCTGGGCAACATAGCGAAACCCTGTCTCTACAAACAAAAAAACTAGTCAGGTACGGTGGTGCGCCCCTGTAGTCACAGCTGCTCAGGAGGCTGAGGTGGGAGGATCACAGGAGATCAGGGCTGCAGTGAGCCGTGATTGCACCACCACACTCCAACTTTGGCAACAGAGCAAGACCCACATGGGGAATAGACAGGGGTCCCCCCAGGAAGGCCAGTGCCAAGGCAGGGAGCTCTAGTCCAGGAGAGACACATGAGGGCCTGCAGTGGGGTGAGACGTGAAGAGACTCAGATGGATTCTAGAAGCAGCAGGAGGCACAAATCAAGAGGGTTTGGCAAAAGATGGATGGGACACCAGCAAACCCAGGTCCCAGTTTAAACAAGTCAATGATGATGTCATTCGCCAAGACAGGGAACAGAGGACAGGACCAGGTTTCTGCTGCATGGGGCTATATAATGAAAGAGCATGGTCGTGGAGGGCTTGCAGGGCTGGGCTGTCAGAAATACCAAGGGCACATGGGTGCCCAGAGTAGAGGTCTGGGCTGCAGATGACATGTGGAAGCCAGGGGCACGGAGAAGGTGGACTGAAACCTTGGGCTTGTGTGAGGGTGCCTCAGCAGAGGGGAAAGGGAGGAAGAGGGCTTGGACTTCACCTAAGCCACACACGAGCTCCATGGAGGAGGACTGGCCTGCACAGGAGACTGTGAAGGAGTCTCCAGAGAGCAGAAAGGGCACATGGCCCAGAGGTGCCCAGGAACCAGCGTTTCAAGGAGGCAGACATGAACAGTCCCAGCTGCCAAGGGGTCAGGTGAAGCAGGGACTAAACATGTTCCTGGGATTCGGTGGCACGGAAGTCATGTGCAGCCAGGGAGGAGGAAGAACCATGATCTCAAGGTCTGAGGCAGGTGTCTCCCAGTCAGACTTCCCAGTGTCAAGGGAAGTTGTGTGGGGCGGGGGAGGGGTGGTGCGGTAGGGCAAACCGTTTCCATACATTTAATAATGTCAATGATCAGTACCCTCAAAGACCAGCTGCTGGTGGTAGTGTGACCTGAACCCCTGCCATCCATTCATTTTCAGATAGATGCATGCTGACAAGCCCAGTACTGGGGCTGACTGGACACACAGAGGCGGATCATGCAGCTCACAATCTCAGGGCAGGGGGAGACAAACACAATCCCCAGAAGATCACTGCCTCGGAGCCCCGGCCTAGCTCATCTACCTCCAGCAGCTCCTGGGCTACAGATCTGCATCGCAAAAATCAAACCGAGGCAGAACTGGGTATTTCAGGGAATTTTTGTACCCAGCTTCTCTTGCAGGGCCCCTGAATGGTCTGTAAAATGGATGGACTCCCAGTTGCAGAGACAGGCACTGGGCAAGGCGTCAGGGTGTGTGCACTGAAATGGCTGGTTTCCTGGTTTCAGTCTGGATGAGCCAGTAGCGGCTATGAATGAGACTGGAAGAGGCGGCCCATGTGAGAACATCTTTCAATCAGAATGTGCTGTACAGTGGGAGGGCCAGAGCGCGTTTTGGTCACCAAAATTAACTTTTTCACTACTTAGATCTGCCAGTTCATTTTATCCTGCGCACTGAAACTTTAAAGTGGTGTTCTCAGGAACTATGTTTGGCCAGGAAAGGAGAAATCATAGAAGCCAATTACATCCTCACAGGCCTCTTCCTTCCAGGAGAATGACTTTACCATCTTGGCTTTTGCACATGACATTAGCTAACATGGAAAAGCAGGCTGTTCTGACCTCATGTCATCATCCATCTTCACTGGGCACTGGGCCACTGGGTATTTTGTTTTTCCCTAAGTCATAACTAGTGTACCTCAACGTTTAATAGAATTCATCCCCTCTTACTCCATGAAGGGACCATCATTTGTTGAAAGTTGCTAGAAATACGGCCGGGCACAGTGGCTCATGCCTGTAATTAAACCGAGGCAGAACTGGGTATTTCAGGGAATTTTTGTTCCCAGCTTCTCTTGCAGGGCCCCTGAATGGTCTGTAAAATGGATGGACTCCCAGTTGCTGAGACAGGCATTGGGCAAGGCGCCAGGGTGTGTGCACTTCGGGAGGCCGAGGCGGGTGGATCACAAGGTCAGGAGATCGAGACCATCCTGGTTAATACGGTGAAACCCCGTCTCTAGTAAAAATAGAAAAAGTTAGCTAGGCGCTGTGGTGGGTGCCTGTAGTCCCAGCTACTCGGGAGGCTGAGGCAGGAGAATGGCATGAACCCGGGAGGCGGAGCTTGCAGTGAGCCGAGATCACACCACTGCACTCCAGCCTGGGTGACAGCGAGACTCCGTCTCAAAAAAATAAAAATATAAATAAAAAAAAGTTGCTAGAAATTATAAATACCTTTGAAACCTTCAATTGGTTGTGATGTGTCCCTTTAAGTTTTGTATCAGTGTCCTCAAAGTCAAGTCAGTCCAATGTCTTCAAGGAAAGTGGGTGCCCAGAGTCATGACAAGGAATGGAGAAACTCATCAGCTGGAGATCTGGGTCTGGCCAACAGGGCAACTTCTGGACTTTTCAGAAAAACTGAGAATCCGAGAGTTTCAAAGGATTTATTTGATTTCCCCACATGATCACAACCATGGTTTTACATTGATAGAGTCTGTTACCACTGACAAACAGAATGCAGATGAACACAAACGCACTCCTTCCCTCCCACAGGTACACAGTGGGGGTGCCAGGTTTCTTGTGAGGGAGGTGTCCCTTGAAGTCTCTGAACAGTCTGGGGATTCAGAACCTGATTCTAATTGCTTAAAACAACTCAGAGGCAAAAGTTATCTCCCAAGAGGAGACGCATGCTGTGTGCAGTCTCAACGTGACTGCACACAGAAGGGCGACGTGGATGCGTCTGACTGGAGGGCAGGCCTCCTCCCACTTGTCCTGTGCTCAGCACCCCCACCTCACCCTGCTCAGTGTTGCAATGCTGCCTTGACTATTGTTGTTATATAAAATACAAATGCACTCGTTTCTCAGGCAGGAAGGGTGATGATATTTTACAAGGAGAACTAAGACTGTGCGTGCTTACCTGCGGGCACAGAGCTTCCCGTGGAGCTGAGTCAACGCCCAGCATCAGCTGTGAACATCTGCTGTCTTTTCAGCTCATTGTTAAGAAAAACAAGAGGCTCGTGCCGCATGCAGTGTGTGAGGGAAACATCACTCTGCACTGGATGCTGAAGACGTTTTTAAGCAAGATGTGCACATCATATTAGGATGAACTTTATTTTTACATTGTTGTACAATTCATTGGTAAACTTAAAAAAATACAAATACATGATTTGATTGTTGTCCCAGGAAAGACTTTTGTCACATTGCCAGCTGTTTCCCTCAGCGTCTCCTGCTCCTGTCAGCAATTCTGTATGTAACTACAATAGTTTGTGTGACTTGAGAAAGGTGTGCCGAGGGTGTCCTCACAGTGAGAAGGGACCAGGCAGACATCCTGGGGCCCTCGGCCTCCTTCTGCCTCCCCTCCCGTGGGACGTGATGACAGGACCCCGAAGCTATGGCAGTAACAGGTGGGGATCGAGAGGGGACAGTCCCATGAAAGACACATGGGGACACCAGCTCACTGGGAGCTTTCGCTTCCCAAACAAGATGTGGGCAGAATGACTCCAGCCTCCGGAATCCAACAATGCATCTTCCACAAACTTTTGATAAGCTTGCAAATAAAATAGGATGAAACCTCACTGGCCTGAAGGAGCACACAGTGTGGCTGGAAACCCCAGGAGGGGCTCAGTGGGCTCCAGCAGCTCCTTATGCAAGGCCCAGGCCTGCTGCCCAGCACAGCTCCAGGACACACCGAGGACAGCGCCAGAGGCTGGCAGCCCGAGGCTGTGGAGCTTGCAGGATGGCGATGGAGACGGAGAGTTTCTGGAAAGCCCCTCCTAGGGTTTACTGTCTGTTGCTATTCATTAGTGCTGCCCTTCAGAAAGAGCAGTTCTATGCCAAATGGCCTGAATCTTTTCTGGAACAACCTAAAGGTTACAGTGAGACTGTCCCCTCGGCACAGAAGAGGGCGAGAAAAGCTGACATACTCAATATGTGATCGCTTTGCTTCAACGATGTGTCTACGGTCACACCAATACATTTTGCAAATGTACAATCCGCAGAGCGCGGCCTCACAGCTGACACCGGATGACATGCAGCAGTTTAACGCTTCCAGGTCAGAACAACCTCCTCAAAACTGCGAGACAAAGAGTGCTTTAGGGAGCCTGGCTTTTAAAAAAGACCCAAGAATTGAGGAGTTGGGGACACCAGGGCGCTTCCCCCACAGCCTAGCCTGGACCCAATCACATGCTCCCATGCTGTTTCTTTCTGAGCAGACACCAAAGAAAGAAATGCCACACCGATGGGAGGACACAGGTGGGCAGGTTAAAGTCACACAATTTTAAAAAGGCTAAACTCTAGATTGCTGTATTTGCTCTCTGTGGAGATTAACAAAGTGCTTGGTTTGCAGATTTGCTGGTACGGTGATCTCAATGATATGAGCGAGGGGAGGGATGTGAGGAGGGAAATCAGCAAAACCCTGGCCAGCCAGCCAGCCAAGGTGACACACAGCCAGAGGGGGCTCCCCTCTCCTCCTGCCGTCCGGCCACGGCTCACCACGCTGTCCACCGAGCACGCGGCCCCACGGCCCGCAGAGTCAGGCGTGAGCTTCGCCCTTTCTGAAAGGGCCTCCGCCTGGACAGGCGCCGGGGGGCAGTCCTCGGGTCCCATGGCTTAGGAGCACAGCACTGACGGCTGCAGTGGCTCGAAAGGCTGAAACTACAAAGTATGGCCCGTGGGTGACTCGGGCACAGACCCGCCACGTGCAGCGTCTGGCCCGGGGAGCGCATGGTGTCACCACAACACAGAAGCGACAAGAGCACAGCTGAGAGTCATGTGATGCCCTGGCAGCTCACTGGACCATGGGAAGGCAGCGGGGGCTCCGCCGGGCACTCGTCGGCTGGGGTCACACGGGCCACGGTGATGACACAGGGGTTCTGCTAGCACATGGCTACATGGAATTACGATGATCACTGCTACCACTCAGAAAACAAAACAGGAAACACACACACCGCCCTGGGTTGCTAAACGCTAAAGTCAACCTTCAGGTTCGAGAGTGGTTCCTGGGGAAAACACTCTCTGAGGGCTTCGGCCTGGTGTGGGTTGGAGGCGGGATGAGGAAGTTATGGTGTTGGGGAGACGAGGATGAGAGCTGGTCACTTTCATGTTGGAGATGAACACTTCTGCCGTGTATGGGTGCCCCTCTCGGAGGACTCTGAATGAGTGTGCATTAAATCATATGCGCGTAAAAGAAACATGGATCATGGAGATTCACAGTTATCGCAGCCATTAAAGTGTCTAAGAATCTGTGTAACCAATGTCCTAAGACAACCAGCTCGTAACCAGCTGTCCTGAGTTGCTACTGTAGAGTGTACTGCAGTTTAGCTATTTGCTTACCTGAAATAACAGAGCATTATAATACTATTTATGATAGTATTCTGTTAATAAAATAAGGATTTATACAAAGCAATACTGGACTTTTTAAACAGTTAGATGCTATGTTACTTGGCACAGTTAGTAATGATTGTGTAAAGATTTTAGCCAGTCCTAGAGGGACTTCTTTGTATGAAAATATGAAGTATCTGAATTTGTTCCTAGCATTTAGGGTTTGGTCTACTGTCTCACACACCCAGCTAAGGTACTGTCTTCCTACTAGGTAAGTGGAGCTCCTTGTAAGGTGGGTATTGCTAATGTTGTGGACTGAAACGCCTGCCTTTCACACACAAGTACTACCTATACAGTATATATATATATATATTTATATATTTATATA